TTCGAAATATGTTTTAAGAAATTAGCATATATTGTCTGATGTTGTTTCTCAATGATTGACACCTGTGTATGGTGCACAAACTGACTTTAGAGATACCTATCAGCTATAGTCGAGATTGGAGTAAAAACTTTTTTTTTTCACTACAGGTCCGTGTAGTATATGTCATGTAATTTTTTGAAGCATGAATTGTACAATTATGTCAACAGAAAATATCAAAATAGCCCAGAAATTTAAATATCGGTCACTTTTCACCCAAATGTGAATATGCTTCTCCCTTTTTATTTTATTCCTTTGGGAGGAATCATCAACTTTTTCATTTGCATCCACTTGATTTTTTATTTTGAACTATGAACATTAGCTATGTATTTTGCTTCTGAATCATTTAGATTCAGTTCATTACAAATCGGTGGATTTCCCTTCGGTTTTTGAAAATTTCCCATACAAATTTCCAGGAAAGTGTTGTCAGCAGTTGCTGTACATGCAGGAAGTGAATGCGGAAGATGATTCAGGGTAAAGGAAAGGATTGTTTTGATTCTGAAGGCAAAGAAAGAGATGGCATGTACTGGAATAAATTGAAAAATTCTCTATTGTTTTGATTAATTTTTCATCTAAGGCTTGAGCATATACAAATCTTTCTGCACTGATACATGTGGAAGAAAGACAGTTTTACCTAACAATCCTTCTTCTTTAATGGATCAGGTATGATTTTAGGTAGAGCCAACTGTATTGATTGATCAATTGTTTGATTGATTGATTAATATACAAGCTTTATTTGCCATTTATTGTCAGCCTTCATAAAGCTTTTCCATAACCTCCAACACATCCATTCATCACATTCCACCCTGTTAAGAATAATTCACTAAAAGGAACTGTATATAGGAACATTTGAACTCTCTCTACAAAAATGTTGTCTGCAGCAATCTTTCTCTATATACGGTAGATGACAATTTTGTTTTTGGTCCTATTGGGCTCTCAACACATATGTTAGAAGGGTTCTCTGTGAACAAAATTATCTTTACAGCAATTTTTTCTGGTCCTTAGAGTTTCACAGTAAGGAGAGTTCACCTGTACTAAAAGAAAATGAAAATTGTATTCATATAAGAGATATTTCACAGCATTTATAAAAATGCATGAATGCTGTTCTGTATATGAGCAGTAAAACTTGTATACCCAAATTATGACCATAAAAGGGTGCTATACACTGAAATTCTCTGTAACACAATTTATATTTCTGGTACCTACGGTATTTACTCAAGTATACCACGCGCACCTTTTTCCCCAAATTTCAGAAGAAAAAAAGGGGTACACGTCATAAGCGGGTAAAAAATTTTCAATAAGTTTTAGGAAGTTATGTGTGCATTATACATAATTATAATGGATACATTTTGAACAAATATAACAAGAAAACATTTTTGTATTGAAAAATTTGAAAATTGATCAGACTTTTGTTAAATTCATGCCTAAAGTCAAATTTTTTGTTTTTATTTTTGAAATTTCATGGTTTTAGATCCACTAAAAATTGGGGTGAGCATCTTACTTGGGGATAAGATTTTTGCAAAATTTTTAACTGAAAAACCCCTGTGCGCACCTTACTTGAGGGTGCATGGTACTCCAGTAAGTACGGTATTATCTTGAGTTGTTTTGTAGAGATAACAGATTATATTGATAACAGAAAATATAACATTACATCTTTATAAAAGATACTTAATTCACAGTCACAAATGCATGAATATTGGACTGTATATATGGGCTATGAAAATTTTATGCCCTAATGAGGGTCAAGGCTGGCGCCACTGCAGTAAAAAAAGTACTGCTGTACACTGCACAGCAGTATGCAATGAAGTGATACAGCACACCTGCATATTGTATACAGTACTCGAGTTTGACTAAAACATAGAGGGACTGCAGGGAGTGTGTGATGCATGGGCTCCATCATGCATCAGCACTCGGTTCGCGCCCAATAACCCTTGACATCTCACGCACCATGAACGTATAGCCCGAGGCAGTTCATTGCTGCTGCTGCTGCGCGCCTGTGTGGTGTGATGTGATGGCGTTGCTCCTGGCCTTCTGCTGGGAAGGTCAAGTTGCTCTTTTCCTGTCTCCTGTATATATTTTCTTATGACTTCAACTCTTTTTTCTTCCCTCATTCACACACATGTTTATATATATTATTTTTATATTCTCCATCACTATTTCCCTTCGTTTCCCTCTTTCCGACGGTTGCTGTTCATCCAACGTATGACGATGAGTAGCCAATGCCAAACGAGAGTCGCACCAGTTCGTCATGCGAGCCGATTTTTAAACCAGCTGGTTCATACTACCCTCTGGTGGTTGCACCGGGAACAGGAGGAGGCCGGATCACCAGCAGCAGTAGCACCAAAGACTCGTCAACCCAAATCACGGTGTGTGTGTTTTATATTTGTATGTATACAGTATACGTGTAGATGTATATATATAATTTATTTCATTAAGGGTATATGTGCTTACATGACGAAGCTTTCTTTTCCCCATTTGTTCGCATTCCTTCCTCTCTCTCTGTCTCTCTCTCTCTCTCTCTCTCTCTCTCTCTCTCTCTCTCTCTCTCTCT